CCGATCTCCCCAAAACCCCAAAACCCCACCTTTTAACATCAGATATATTTATAATGATTCTTTAAATAAATTAAAAACAGTCATAATACCAAAATCTTTTATTTTACAATTCTATCACATTCTTAACGTAAATTCTGAGTATAAATCAACTTTCTTCTTCATGTAATTTTTAAACCTTTAATTCTAATTTCATCATCCTTGTCAAGGCTATGCCTTCATTTTAATGATTTTATTTAGCACCTTTAATTTTATCATTCCTGAATTCAAATAAAAGTGTAGTAGCGCACATTAATATACCAGCTATACCCACAAATGAAATGTAAATAAAATGAGCTGACCAACTCACAACGAATGACTATATCATCTAAAAGCAGAATACCATAGTTGCTTCTATCAATGAATCCAGTGAAAATGGGCCTGGATTATCATCAAATTCTGAACTCAAAATAGTGTTCAAATGAATACTAACTGCACTGTCTTGGAATCCCCAAACAAAAGTCATAATAAAGGCAAACACTGAATAATCATCAAGATACAAGTAGTTTAGAACAAAAATCGTAGCTACTAAAATTAGAACCATATTGAGCACACAAACATTTTTGGTACCGTACTTGTCAACTAGTTTCCCTTAAATTACAGCACCTGATATCTCTCCAACTCCCAAGGCCACCATTGCAAGCATGCTTTACTTGAATTATTCCTACTCATTAGAGGTCTTTAGAGTTTCTACGATAGTCGGTACAAGTAAACCAGTGTAGACTGCTATTGATATACCTGTCCAACAGATTTAGAGCATAACATATCTCATTCTATTGTCAATTATGAGATGTAGAACTAATTTGACATCTGATTTAAAATTTGATTACTCATCTTTTGGATCTCTGATTATTTAAGAAGAATTAGTAGACTCAGTTAATTCTGAAAACCTTCTTTCTCTTACTTGTCTTTCGAATTCCAACTCTTATTAAGGTTATTCAGCCATCTTATGAGTGGTTTCCGAAGGATTGCTTATCAAGTAAAAACTGCTAGTCCCTACTAAAGCTACACTCCCCATAATCAGAAAAAATGAAGTTTGATTTAGTTTCTCTAGAGTATATGATGCTATAAGATTCCCAGATATTTAACTCATCATATAGAATGTCCAAAAAATACCAAAGCCTGTACCTTTATGATCTGGGTCTGAATTTCTAGCTACATAATTATTTGCACATGACCATAGTATCCCTACAGTGAATCCATTTATAATTGTTGAAACAAATATCAGTACAGTTATCAATATAGGTGGTTCATCTATAATCTGCTAATTCAATTTATTCTCATGCTCCGTAGCAAGTATGGTTGTGAATATCCACTGAGCATTGCCTAATCCCCCCATCATCATGCACTTTCTTGAACCAAATTTATTGATTATAGCAGTTGAAAATATTGATCCAAGTCCCATAAATAGATAGAGTGTTGCTAGTATATGATATCCCATTTGCCCAAAGCCATCTTCTTACATAACAAGAGATTATAGGTTTTAAGATGAGTTAAAAGCGCTATAAGTCAGAAATATTCCCAATGAAAGAACCAGAATGTTCTTGTATTTTACTAATTTTGACATTTTTAAAATTTGATTCGTCTTTTATATAATAATCAGTCATATTCATTTTCATTATTTTAACTATCTATATGTGTCCTTTAGGGGTTTTGGGGTTTTGGGGTTTTGGGGTTTTGGGGTTTTGGGG